GCTGGTTGTACTCAGGTGCCCAACTATATTTATAGTCAGAAAATGTTTAAAAATAAAATTGGAACCAAATTTTGAGCCTTGCCATAAAGTGTATTTACCATAGCATACCATAGCATACATGAAATATTTTAATGAGCAAAGTGGAGCAATATGATGGGGACTAATTAGGCAGAACTTGGAAGAGCCCAATAATTTAAATAAACATAGATGTTTAAACATGGTAAGGTACTCTGAATTTATATGTTCCTATATTGTAAAGGTATGGAAAACTGAAAATACTTTTTAAAAACTGTTCTAACATTTTAAAAGTGGCTGGTGATTTTGGGTGCCTCTATTCCCAGGTGCTTACTTTAGACATAAAACCATTTGCTTCACCCACCATATAGTCCAGCAACTGGATGGTTACACATGTTAGATTCTATACACCAAATCCTCTTGCATCTTTGTGTGCCTAAGTAGCACCTGCATAGCCTGATAATTGTCGGCACTTATGTAGTTTTTAGATTCTGTTTCAATGCCAGATTCTGTTTCCATGCTATTTCAGTACAATTCTGTATCTGTCACAAGTAAAAGGGAAGAAGGAGGCATTCAAGCCAAAGGGAAAGTGACTCAGTGTAAGGACACTACTCTAAATGGGGTAGGGTGTAGCTAGCTCCCCTCAGGGTCTGTCCCACTGCTGTTCATCTATTTTACCCAATGAATGCTTAATGCAGAAAATCCACTAAAGGCTACCTCCAGGAGGGTGTTAAAGAACACTCTGGGTAGTGTTCATGGTTTTTAGAGCACGTTTCTGAGAAGAAGGAGATATATATTCAAATCGTCAGTGAGTACTGGTGGACCAAGAGCCTGGATCTCCAGCTAAAGTACCCTCGTTCCTAGGTTATTGGGCTAAAAGATGGAAAGGTTTTTCTTTCTGTCCCTAGGTAGTTACAGATTTCTGAGACCAAGGGGTTAGGTAGGACTCATAGGGAGTGTCTACACGAGATGTGTACCTCAAGATTAGGGCAAAATACTGCGCAGTAAGCATCACCGTCTACACAGTGCCATCCCCAAGTTTTCGTTTTATTGTCTTTTCCCAAATCGCTACTGTGTCCCTGGCCATTTCACCTCTTCCTGCCCTTTTCTGAGTATGCCAGAGAACCCTGACCTTGCAAGTGTAATCTAATAATTACTGATAAACATAAACTATATGTTTGCTAGCTATTGGTGTTGATCAGACTTCTTTTCTATTTAATCACCAGGGTCTGCATATGAAATTATTTAATTGGTGATAATGTCTGTCCCATTTGCCCAACAGATCAAAACGGGTTTTATCTGGGTTTGAAAACTATTATAGTTTCAAGAATAAAGTGTTATAACAAAACAGATATATAATATGTACATGAACTAGTGCCTTCTGCTGAAGTACATCAGAACTGTTTACCTGTGTATCCTGCATTGTGAATATACAAATAATAAAAGATATTCTCTTTATCTCAGATGACAGACCCTGTGTCTTTGAAGCCTACTCTGCTCCCACTGGAGTTAATAATAAAATTCCCTACTACAGTGGTGAAGAATCAAGCCTTTGGAGGAGCAAAGTCCAAGTACATCACTTGCATAGCCTGTTTGTGAACAGAGTGACTGCTATAATATTCCTTGCTAATTTATTACAGATGAGGAAAGAAATTCAAACATATTCATTTTATTTTTTGAGAAGGAGAAAATAATTTAGATGGTTTCATTCAGTTTTGGACAAATTACCTTGCTGCCCATTTCTCTCATCTAAAGAGAGAAACAGGTTAGGGCCGCATTTTAGAGCTTAACTCATTCAGAAAGGCACAAACTTTTGTAGGCAGCAGCCTACTTTCTCACATGCTTTGTATTTTTGACTAACTCTGAGGTGCCACCTTCCCTACCTTCTGCCCAACTTACAACCCCCCTCTGACCAGGTGTACACAAAACACTACTATGCAGTGGTTACTACACAGTTATTTTGTACTTGCATATGTTTATGTGTAGTAACCAGAGTTACTGCATAGTAGCACTGGCAGTCATCTTTTAAGTGATGCTACTGCACACTAGCCTAATACTACTGTGCAGTAGCATATTAGCACTGTGCTGTGACGCACTACTGCACAGCAATATTTGGCTACTGAGTAGTCAGGGTCTTGTGTAGACTCACCCCCTATAATCTATAGAGGTTTGGGGCTGTAAACACGGACAAAGAAAGAAAAAATGGGCTAAAAATGTATAGCCGGTGTCACCTCATATGCATCCTTAATTGAGTTGTCAGTTGACACTGGCAGAGAATCTGACTCAAGGTGCATGTGTACGTGTATGAGTTATATACATGCACCTTGAGTCAGATATAATTGGTGATCTAAATAACCAGGTCACACTGGAAAAGGTCCATGTGGGGTAGAAAGTCTAATAAATACATGTAAAACTGTGGTGTAGAGATACCAAATGGATCCCTTCACTGGTAGGGCACAGATGGCATGGCCTAACTTCCATCTCTTCTGTGCCCTAGTCATTTTAGCAGCTCTGGTTCCTTTCTCCTCTGCTAGGTAATAGCATTAAGAGTGGATCAGCCAGAGGAAACCAGGGCTGTCAGGCAGTTGCAAGCAGTGGGGTAGCCCCCTTGGCCTCCAGGATTGAAGGGAGGAAGGCAGGCAAGGCTGTCCTCTCTTGTGGGGGAAGGATCTGCTGCTGCTTTCCTCTGGCTGCGAAAGGGGCAGTGCAGGAGCCACATGTGCACTTGTTTACAGCAGCTTGCAGGCACTACCATGCTTTGTTGCCTTTTTGATTTGCTCCCATTCATTATTTCCCCGGCTTGTTTATTCCTCAGCATTTGCGGGAGCTCCCTCTGGGGCCCTGGAGAGTCACGTTAATGGCTCGTCTGTCTTCTCTGCGAGACGAGGCTGATGCTCCAGGGGCTCCTCCGGCAGGCACCTGAACCAGGCAGCGGGAAGGCGCGGGGAAGCCTGCAGACAGCCGGCCGCAGGCACCGGGGGCCGCTCGCGCGAACTCGCCCCTTGCACGGGGCTTTCCATGCGGGGGGGAGTAGCAGGAGCCCATGAGCCAAGTACTGAAGTATCCTCTCGGCTTGAAAGCGGGGAGGGTGTTGCACAAAACGGGACTTAAACCTGTCGTCACGACCGAGAGCTGTGGGGGGCTCAGCACAAGGCGGCTCTCCAGCCCGCCCGGCGGTGCCGGCACAGGCGGCGAGGGGGGGCGGCTCAGCCCCGGGGACCGGCGGGGAGCTGTAGGGCTCCGCTCCCCTCCCCCCCCCCGCAACCACACACACACACCCCCCCTACCCATGCTGAGCACTACACCTACACACGCGCGCACACCCCCCAATACACACACATACATACCCCTACCCACAAACACACACACACTTATACCCGCCCCCGACACACACAGCCCTACCACCCATGCTGAGGACTACACCTACACACACACCCCATACCCACACACCTACCCCCCACACCTACCTATACACACCCAAGCACCCCTATCTACCCACGCTGCAGACTACACCTACACTCACCCCCCCCACTACTTACACACGTACACAACCCTACCTACCCCCCACTTCACCTACTCACACCCACACAGCCCTACCTACTCACACGGGGCTGCATAAAAACACACGCGCGCACACCTCCCTACACACACACTCCTACTGTGATGGATCATGGGTTTGACTATATTTCTATTTTAAATGCGGTTGTCGAAATAATTTGCAGGTTGAGTCGCTTTGAAAAATGGATTCTGAGTGCGTGTGCTGAGAACACCCCTCCCCCCCGCACACCAACCCCCCCGCCCAAACACCCCAGCCTGTCCACCACACTGTAGTGTGCAAAGATAGCAGGCTCCCTCCCATCGGAAGGGGTGCAAGGGGAGAGGAGGGGCAGGGGCAGGGAGGGCAGCACCTCGGGCACCCACCCCCTGCCCGCTGTCTCCGGCGGGAGGGTCTCGCTGCCCCCCTCTCACCCGGAGGGGCTCCCTCTTCCTCTTTTGCAGCAGTGTGCAAGGCGAGGACAGGTCTCTGCTAATTCACTACAGCGCTGGGCCACAGAGAGAGAGAGAGAGTAGCACCCTGCTGCTGCCAGCGACCCGGGACTGCACTCTTCAGGGCTCTCCGCAAAACCCTGCCATGATTTATCCTGTTGTTTTGTTTGGGTCCCCCCCCCAAGGCGTTGGAGAAAAGAGCCCATTAAAAACACCGTTCTGGTTTTGCCAGACCTGCAACAGCCCTGGAGTTGCACGCACAAGGGCTGGGCGCCAGTGGGAGGTGGCGGAACAATTGGAAACACCCATTACCGAAATGCACCCGGCTCATCGGCGGATGGGCTTGGAAATGGATCTCCGAGCTATGATCGTAGAGCAGGGGACACATTCAGCTGTATGACCCCCCC